TGGATAACTCTTCGGGCAGCGAGCAGACTCAGGCAGTTTGGGATGTTTTTATTGACTGAATTGTTGAAAAAGTTCAGATTATCTGTTGTTATACTACTGCTTCAAATATGTTCAAATCAGCAATGTGAGGTTAGAAAAAAATGAACTTCAAGCAGTGTAACAGACTTAGATTCACGTTTGTAAAAAAACAGTTGCAAATAGACCACCACGAGAAGTCACGCACAACAGATGCGATTTTTTGTATTTAAGTTAATTCATCCTGTATTTAGCGTTGATTTGAGAGAGGATTGTACGACTGTCAATATATGAGTTGTCAAACATTTTTGGTCGGGTTTTATTGCTTGCTTTAGCTTCGGCCCACCCTTGAATTGAAGAAGTCAAGCCTCTACTAGAAGCTGAGGCTAGTTACAGCAGTCATTCCTCTTTTATCACTAACCTAAATCGTGTAATATTCCATGTAGGGTCCTAAAAGTGAAATAGCTATGTGGTACCTACAGGTTTTGAAAATAACTACTGGTAATATGCATTTTTAGATCGTTTGATGAATTTTTTGAGCAACCTCAAGGTAATTACCAATAGACAACATGGTTTCCAACAAGGAAGATCGACAAATTCAGCAATGACTGCTATTTATATAGAACAAATTGAGTATGTTGACGCAGGCGAATGACCCGCACCTATTTTTTGTACTTTGAGAGGGGTATTTGACTGCATTAATGATCAGATATTCTGTATGTATCGATCAATTCTATCATCAACTCTAAAAGGCATACCAATTAAGAAGGGTGTGGCACAGGGTACTATACTGGGACCGAATCTCTTACTTTACATGTCAATCAGATCGCAGATGTTTTGCCCACCACTGAATATTCAGCTTATGCGGATGACATATCTTTGCTTAGGTATTTCATCGAAAGAGGATGCTGTCCTCCAATGAAAATGCATAGAGTCGTTGATGAAACTGATTAACTGTTTGAACTCGCGTGATCTTTTTCTTAACGCCATGAAAACAGAAGTACTCAGATTCCACAATTGCAAGTTAGATCAATTTTATATAAATGTCAATAATTCAGTATTAGAGAGCCAAAAAGTCTTTATTGATGAGTATGAGTATGTTTGAGTAGAACGAGCCAATGTGAGCATCTCTTTAAATCCTTATCCTCTTATGTCCCTGTTTTTAGAAATTTGAGAATTGTTTTAACCTGTCCTGATTTATTGAATATAATAATAATAATAAATGGCTTTATTCGAAGAAACAATGCATACAAAAATAGTATTCCAAAAATATGAAATAATTGCTCTCGAATCTCAAGGGGGAGTTCATGACCTGCGTGCTCTTCCACTCATCCCTTGCTCTATTTTAAAATAGTGATATCAACTGTTACATGCCTACTACTAACTATATGAGAGCAGAAAAAAAAAGCATGAGTACAAAAAAAAAAAACAAATAACACTGAAAATATTCCATCATATAATCATGAGATTCATCCAAAAAAGCTAAATGTTACAGTATTATCAGTGAAGTTAATTATACTTATCTGAAAGGAATCGTCTCAGAGCTGCCTTGAATTTGCAACCTTTCATATTTTTGATTTGCTGGGGGATGGAGTTGTATAATTTATAGATGTTGTAAGAGAAGCCACGTTCGAAAAAACATGTTCGATGGAATGGAGCAGAAATATTCTGTTTCGAACAAACATTGACAGAATGAAGACTTTCTCTAAACATGACTTTTTCATACAAATATGGCGGTGACTTGCTCGACAAAATATTATTGTAGAAACATAGTGTTAATAGTTCTGAATGAATATCTTTATGGGCTGATTGAGTCTGGACTTCGTTAAAACATTTGCTTTGGGGTAGCTGGTCCCACGCAAATGAAGTGTTTGTATCTCAAAAAAAAAATCATAAAAAGTTTAGCAAATGTATGCAACCACCACTCGAGTAGAGAGCTGGTTATCTATTTTCGAATATGCACACTTTTTTGTAAACACTGATATTCACAAGCACAATGCCAGAAAAAAAGTCAATTATGTTTACCTATTTACAACTATAAATGCAGCCAAGTCCCACAAATTTCTTGGGATTAAAAATGTTCAATAATCTACCAGATAAAGTAAAGCCAGAAACAAACGTGAGGTCCTTCAAACGCCATTTGGGAAGGTTTTTGATCGATCAGTGTTTTCATAGTGTTAATGAAGTTTTTCTCTTGTAGGAATTTTTAATGATTGAAGTGTGGGAAATTTGTTTTTATTGTCACCTGTTTTATTTCATTTTACTATTATCTTGTCCTCAGTTTCAAGTTCTATTGACAATTCTTTTATGTTTTTAGTAACATCAACAGGAAAATAAAGAATTTGAATTTGAACCACCCGGCGGATCTCTAAGGCTGGGCCAGAATGTGTACACGTTGCATGCAGACGTGTTCCCTTGCTAGAGTGCGTATGGCATCCTCCCTTTCCCCCTATAGCTTCACAGTACCCACAGATGTTTAAGCATGAGATCTTCATGTTGATTCAAAGATTGAATGGAAATTATTGCTAAACGGTTAACAAAAAAATTCAAATTCGCATATTATTAGCTCTTGCGGTATTAACAATTACAGTTTTGGTGGATATAAGTGTTACACCTTAACATTTGAAGGTTACTATTATTACACAAATGGTATAAAAACTGTTCTATGTTTTCATTTCATCTTAATCATTACTGATCAATTAGAAATCAGTGAAACACCCAGTTCATAAAATGATATAGCAAGATTTTGTCTCCTTTGTTTACTAAGAATTTTTAAGATTTCAAATATCAGAGGAAAGCACATAATTATTTCACCATAACAATATTATGTAATGAAGATGTACAAAATCTTTGTCATCTATTTAGTCAGTTGTTTGTATTAATGTCAAGGTTTGTTTGAATAATAATCCAACTGCCTCCCAAGATGCAATAAAAGAGTCAAGGTTCTATTTAAATAAAACTGTTTACAACAAAATTCAGTCTTTAGTCACTCCCTAATACACGCCACTGGAATGTTATTTGTGCATTTGTAAAAAAACAGCTCACTCCAAATAAATGATACTAGAACTGAATTACAATGATATAATGTAAATGGAAACAAGGAAGGGTTGTTCTGTCTCATATAGACTAACAATGAATATTTCTAGAAATATTTGGCTACCCAACAGTTCTTGATTCATGATGCTAAATAAAATATGTAAAATCAACATTGCATGTCCTGATTATGAATAGTTCCCTGCCATTTTTATATAGAAGTTATTCTAGATCAAACATTTAAAATAATAAAAAATATAATTAGCATGATCCTGTGCAACAAGTCCACCTATAGATATCTATTAACATTAAACAAAATGATACCAGTTTGCTTAGGCCATGCATTCTAACAATGTTCATACTGTTTGGGATGTGATACATAGTTTGGTTTTGATGCAACTCTAAAGTTATGGCATTGGACTATTCAAGTATTTGAGAGGCAACTTTCAAGTGTCATGTTCTGTATATAAACATATATTTTGAATTATAGATCTTAATAAACATGATCATTGCAATCTATGTCAATTTTAGCTGATTATAAGGCGTATTTTTTAATTCACCGGTTGAGCAACCGGTGCAACCAATTAGACAATTTTTCTTCCTTTAACAAGTTTGGTGTACAACAGATCGCTCAGATGGAAATTAAAAGAAGTAAAATTGGTTACACTGGTGGCTCAACTGGTGAATTAAAGAATATGCCTAGAGATTTTGTTACTAGAAATGAATATAGGTTTGTAAGTGATAGGGGCTATGATGTGAGGTGTCTGAAGTGTGATAAATTGGAAATTAAAATACTTTGTTATGATGTCAGGATGCCCTGTCAAAATAGGTAACATACTAATGTTCTTGATATGTGATTTTCAGTTTTTTTTAAATAACGATCCACAATTAACACGTCTCGTGAACATTCTGATATTTCAGTGAAAATGGAAACAGAACCAGAATAATGGCAGGCACAGATAATTGTGTCTAATGATTAAAAAAACATCTCTATAATTAGCTTACATGAATTTACAATAAACACTTCAGTGCATAGGTGACATTTGGAACTAAATATCACGAGACAAGACAAAATAAGTAGAATGGCGTAAAAAATCATTTGCCAAATATATAATAGTGCGATAGGGAGTGCTAGCAAAAATACGTATTTTATCCTGAAATGACTAACGAAAAATACGTCCTCTACGGGAGTTCTGACGTTATCTCTTTACTTATGTTTCGAGTAAAACTACAACAAACATGAGCGCTCTCGTGTTACAGCCACAAACTGTTTGTTCTCCCCCGTTATATTTACAAAAACAATAAAATGTTTATTGTTTTACCCAGAAGTCAAGAATTGTTATACCCACAGATGGTGGTCATTTTAACTTATATAACTTTGACAGGAAAATAGGGCCCATTTACGCTAGCACATCAGTATCTGCACATCATAACTAAAAGTTAGAATTTTCTACAAGCTAATCTAACCTGTAGTTTTAGATTGTTCCAGAATTTCTCTTCCATTTTCTGCCATTTTATCTCGCACACCACTAATAAAACCACCACTAGGAACACGCGTCATAGACATATCATCACATAGAACATGCACACATGTGACATCCCAAACATGCCAAATCCCAGCTGACAAATGACAACGGTCACATGACACGTGAAGTTGAGAGGAACACGTACGCAACTGCTCGCACATGCGCAGCGTTCACTAATCTGTACTGCCTTGCCAAATCACTGAAATAACTGGAAAACTCCTAAATCTGGGGTTTGTAAAATTTAAATGATGGAGCGCCACAGTATTTTTTCGCCTGGTTATGCAACCACTGAACAGCAGAGGACTGTAACTGCGCTGAAGGTGTTATCAACAACGTATTTACACGAGTTTTGAATTAGAAGGCTCTGATATCTACTACATCCTTCCACATTCTCCATTCAATGAATGAAAGCGCGCTTTTACGCACAAAATATATACATGGAGCTTTACCGATCATTTCTAGATGAATGCAACACTTTTGTTGTAGGAAATTTTGAATACAAACATATTCCTTCTCAATCAGTTTTATAGTTGTGGCAACAGTGTGATATGATTTGTTTTCCATATTTGATTTCCGCTTTTTGATGTTCCATGTTGATATGACAACTTGACGTATTATAACTTATAACACTAGTGTCCCCTTTTCAAAAGTTGATAGGTCCTAAAAAATCTAAAGAGAAATAATTTTAGAATTTCAGAATTGTACATATACAAGTTGTCGCGGAGTAGTGTTTATTGACGGTTTTGCATCTAATCTAAGTTTTTCACATAAGAAATAATGTCGGACTTCAATATTGTCATAGTTATGACAACTTTCAATTTAGTTGTGTAAATAATGTTATTAGAAATATTACCATGGACTTTAAATATAGTGTTCCTATCATTCCACATAACTTAAGCCAAAATGAAACAGTTGTCCAGATAGCGGAAGTCTTGGATCATTTATCTAACATAACAGACACAATATTTCAGCATGTTAACAAAAAACTGGAAGTTGACCAAAGTAGATTATCTAACATATCTCAACGATTAGACGCAGTAAAGGATAAAGTCAACAAGCTACGGGACGTTAAAAAGGCTATACAAGTTTTTTCCAGTAGCAGGTACCCGGCAAGTAATGTAAACAAAGATTATGTATCTGTATTCCATGACATTACACCTGTGGAAATCAAGAGACACAAAGTAAAGTTCAAAAATTATAGCTCTACCTCACATGAACCACTAGAAAAGTTGCAAATATACCATGTCAGTGATACCTGCGAAAATGGTGATAAAATAAATGATGTAGGTAAAATACGAACCAATGTACAATATGTTAATGATTTGAGTACCTGTGGAACTGATATTTTCAAGAATCTTCCCACTAGTGATGTAACCAAAAGCCCTACAAACACCAGTGATATTCTAGAGCTGGATGATGCACCGTGCTCCATAAGTGAGAGATCCATTTTGAATAAATCTATTGTCCAGAGTCAGAATTTTTTCTACACACCCTCAATCGGAGAAGTGCCTTCATTAGATGTGCCATTGGATTTACCAGACTTACCTGGTGTTCCTGATGATCTAAATTATGATAACAAAGATGAAAGTTTTAATATTGCACCATCCATTCTCTTATCTTCAACATTCATTGATATGGACCTGCCTAAGATAGACAGTGATAGTATTAACAAAGAAGTCATACCACAAGAAATTCTTCCTCCTCCTATAAGCCAGGAGGAGCTATCCAAGCCTTCCCTAAAAGAAGAAGAGCCTGTACCACAAGAAGTAAAAGAGGTAATTATTATTTTTAATATAAGAGCATTGATTAACATATTCCGCCAACTACTTACGCTTACAACTTTATATGCATCGATCATCATCATATGGTGTCAAAGTTGCAACCTCTTGGAATATTGCTACAGATTATTAGATTTGCTTTTCAATAAATAAAAAATTCTGAGAACATGGAATCAGAAATAATGACTTGAAGAGTAATCTTTGCTTTGGAGGTTGATGTCATACTTTAGAGTAAAATTTTTTTCAAGCAAAAAATTGAGTTTTTCCTTATTCTATAGGAATTACTATGATCCTACTCTGTAACTTGGTTGTGATGAAGGAAATTGTATACAAATGTCCAAATACAGGGTTGGGCATAAAATAGAGAGATAAAAAAAAAGTATGCATGGGAGTTGATACTAAAACATTAAATAATTATTGAATAACCAAATGGGCTTTCTTGTTTTTAGGAGCAACAAACAAGTGTTGAAGTTGAAGAAACATCTGGAGATACTCAAACAGACTCAAAAGTATCCAGTTTAAAAATAGAGGCACCCATTGTCAATGATGCTAGGTCAAGTCTCATGGAAGCCATAAGAAATATAGGAGGTGTTGGAAAAGCCAAATTGCGACATGTCGCAGATACTGAGAAAGAAACTGCATCTCCACCTGCTGCTAAGGTGATACTTCGGATACCACGTTTTTTTCTAGTTTTATATTGAATATTTGTTTTTTAAGCAATTCATAATGAAAACATGAGTGCTTGAGAGAGCATGGAGTGATTGCCTTGATGTTTCAGAGTGGTGATTTGATGACTGACCTCTTCAACAAGTTATCCATGAGACGTAAAGGTATATCTGGTACTAAACAAGCCACTGAGAACTTAGACCCAGGATTAACTCTAGGAAGAATGGCTGCTATGATACCACCACCTGAGCCTGAGGATGATCTAGAATCAACATCTAATGATGAAGAAGACTGGGATTGAATTAAATGTTGTAATGTTCAAGATAAATTTTTTAAAAATATATTTTAGATTGCATTTGTTAATAAATTTTTGTATGTGCTGTTGAAACAGATATTTGCACTACCTATCAAATTAAATAATCCCTTTTCCTTACTATGGTAGTAAGGAAGAACATTTTGTAGTAACTCGCACACTTGGATCATGAACCTTCATAGTAGTGAAACTTTTCAGGTTAAACCAATAGAAAAAAAGATAAATATGAAAATGTCAATTGTATTTCAAATTTATAAAATATTACAATGTTTCACACAAAGTATACATTCACTGCTTCACACATAAAATATACATATATCAGATTCAAAAAGTACAAAAAGCCTTTGCAAAATGCTTGAGTAAAAAGGATGCATATAAACTAAATTTGATAAATCACAATACATTCTAACTTTGCTATACAAAATTCATACAAAAACTACATCTGCATCACTATCACAATGAAATGAGATTATCAATGGTATCATTCTCACTGTGGGCTGTTGCTGAATTTTTATCACTTGTATAAGCTATAAAACTTGATGATTCTATATGACTATAGAAAGTTGGTTTGGTTTCTTTAGCTTTCCTTTTCACTTCTGTTCTTTCCACACTAACACTGTTCTTGCTTTTCATGTATTCTAATACAGGGTCAACACCTGTTTTCATACTAATCTTTGTTTTTAGTATAACATACTGTGATCTCCAATATTCATAGGATGCTTTTTTCAAGACTGTTACCCATTTTGAGACATCAGCATCACAGCGACAGGAAAATATGTGTTTAGACTCATCATCTTTCACTCTATCATTCACTTTAAAAATAAGAGAAAATGCAAAAGGTATGCCTCTATGAGGCCGTTCATAAGCAACTTGAGCATTCTCCAAAACCAGAACACCTAATGGTTCTTCCTTATCTTCGACTCTATAGTAGAATAATAGGTTGTTTATCAATTTGAAGTACCTCTCTTTGAAACAAGGCCTTTGGTACCAGTCTGTCCAGTCGTTTTGCTGAGGTTTGATATGGTGTAGTATACCTTCGAGATCTGATTCTTGCTCTCCAAGTCGTACCAATTCTCTGTCGTTGTACTTCATTGTCAATAAATATTACGTCCACTATTGTGTTAATCACATTAATAGGTGATTAACAAATTAGTTTTCTATTTTCCTCTTTTTTGTTTACTATCATACTATCTGTCAATTTCTCAGATACAAGACAATAATCAAATTCAAGCGGATAACCAAATGGAAATGGTATTTACCATTTTGGGTTGGTATTTACCGATCCGTTCAAGCGAGTGTAGTTATCAGTTTGGTTATAAGATCCGTGACGTCACGAATCAGCTGTTATATGTCATAGTTATCACCGCAAAATTGTGGTATTTACCCAACTCAAGAGTAGTTTTATATTTCTGGTTATTATTTGAAATGTGACAAGTTAGAATTTTGCCGGGTATTGGATATTGTTATTGTACTTCAGCTTCATTTTTGAGAAAAATGATACAGGCTGACTTCAGTTTTACCATAAAGTGGAGCACCTTATTAGTTATACTCATTACGGTTGTTGGGGACACTTTAAATGTAGTTCCTATGCTTAACAAAGTATCCTGTGTAGCCATATACCACAAGAATATTAAAATATGGCCACATAAACTCACTAGATGATATCCACCTGTATACGGTTTTGCTAATTTCTTTTTTTATCATTTCTGCTGAATCAATAAATGTTTTCTTCGACATGCGGAAAAATTTAGAGAATTGAAAGTTATCATAGCTACAAAGCCATGGTACCATCATTAAAAAAAAATCTGAAAAAAACATTTCTCCCATGAATATTATGAAAGGTTTCTTATTTAAACTTTCCATATACAGTTGTAGTCGAAAAAGCACCGATTATTAAGTGATAATAAAAATAATCAGAGATTATATACGCGCTTTTCTAAAATAAACAACTTGCAACAAAACCGCGGTTAAAACCAACGCGTTCAAGCGATTCGTGTAACTGACGTCATCAACCTGTGTGTCATCTTGAACCATATTATAACCGCGGCACATAACACAGAAATTTTGGTTATTCGCTTGGATTTGATTAATCAATCAGATATGAGTTCACATAATGGAGTGGGAAATGAGGCGTGGTTCCACTAGCGATGACTAGCCAGGGGCTTGATTCTAAATGAGTTTCGACCGCTGAAATTGATTTCGATGACGCCTTGTGACAATATACTTGATTCGCTATGATAATTTTGATATCTGATTAATTTGATCTTCTATATTCAAATTCTCACGGCAGTGTCCAGATTATAATCAAGTATATCGTCACGAGGCGCCATCGAAATCAATTTCAACGGTCGAAAATCATTTAGAATCAAGCCCCAGTTCTTATCTTAGCTGAATTCATCTCGACTAAATGTCGCTTTTTGTCTACTAATCTAATACTACTTGGACCTTGTAAGATTGGTTGCGTTACAAAAAGCTATAACTACTGACCTTAGCCCAGGCATCATAGTAAGTAGGTAAGCTGGAATTTTTTGTACAGGAATATAGATTTTTAAAAAGAAAAATACCGGACAAAAAACTCATCACTGGGTTAGATCGCCTAGGTAGATTTTGATTTTTATCACTCACATTCGGCCCTACGACATCTCACGATGTTATAGCGATGATTTTAGAATTCAGCACACATAATTATAAGCTTATTCAGTTTTTTTTAGTAACAGTGAGAGACGGAAATTGAAAATTTGTCATCAAAAGTAATAAATCTAATATATTAATTTTTAATATTTTCAAAAACCTCTGCCTACTTGTGACGTCTTTTGTTTAAATCGAATGCGTTGATTCCGAATTCGACGCCAATTTGACGCTAACCTACCGGGGGCCACAATAACATACGACATATTTTTTACCTTAAATTCGAACCTCATCATACTCCATGGTCGCTGTCGATTCGTATTCGAATTAACGGGTAAAGTTACTCAAGTGAACCTACTTTCATGCACTTGTAACAGGAGACAAAACTTTGGTAAATTTTTCCCTGCAAATTCGTATATTTTCTTTACATTTCCTGAATTTCAAAAATACTTATGTATCTATAACCAGGTCGAAAACCTGTCTCTTTCTGGTTGCGTAGATTCCGAACGAGCCCTTTTCTACTACTACAACGGGGGAAAAAATCGAATGCCCTAGACATGTTGTAATTTTTTGAGAAAGTACAGTATTTTCGGAGTGTGTGGGCACTCTAAAAAGGGCGTACTGTCACCAAAAGACCCCGCACAAAACCTATGGATTGTGGAAACTGGGTCCCATCCGATTTGTCTAAAAATTGACTATGATATATTTCTGGCTTTCCTGAACGGAAGAGGGCCAAATCAAAAAGATTAGTTTCTGACAAAGATGGGGAGAAAGTTTGCCCAACTACTCAATGAGAATTGTTACACTAAAAAAGTATTTATATGTTGACACTGAAATAGATCTGGGGTGAGTAGCTCCAGAATTAAAAAAAAACACTCAAGAGGATAGTTTGCTTCACAAGGGGAGGGAAAAGTCGTGGTTATTTAGTTGTCTTTGATTATAACCTTCACAAGGTCAATTCAAAATCACGATGATTTTAAAGGTGAAAGAGAAAGATAAAACGGACTAATGCGACGTAGCTTTAGCGTATTGTTATTGATTGATTTTTTGAGGAATAATCAACTCCAATTTCGTGGAAAGCATATAAAAAAATCCTCGTTATTTTCATAAAATTGCCGATAAGATATTCATAGTCGATACTTCATTGGGTTTCTAAACCCTAAGTAATTTCCTTGTGTGTACACTTTCTACTTCACCTAACGCTAGGCCGACATTAGACTCTTGCGCTGTTGCTAATAGCTGAAGCGCTAATGCAGCATTAGCACCTCGTATAAACAATTAGAGGATGGTATCTATTGATAAGAGCAACAGCTGTTTTATAAAGGCCTCCTAGATTCGGTACATGCTGGATATATTATGAATTATTTTCTCGATGAATTTAAAAATCTATTTTATGTACACATTCACCTCTTTTCCAAATCGACAAAGTTTATCGCTCTATTTCTCAGAAATCAATCATAGCATTGCTTTCATTCCATGAGAACTTTTGTTCAGGATGGGAGAAATATACTGATTTTTAAACAAATCGACTGGGACCCATTTTCCATATTGTAACGCCCTCGTATAGCTCTGACCTTGGGTGGCGAGGAGTCGCCTTGCAGAGTCGATGCCTAAATAGGGTTAGACTTCTTCCATGGAAGTTCACGACTTGACCTGGAAAACGCTGGAACATTTCTCGACGTGTCAATAAGGGGACAAATACCCGACCAGATGGCGGAAGCATTTGTTCAAGGTCGAGTCCACAGTCACGGTCAAAATTGTCAAACAACGCGGAATATCGTATTTCAGTCACCATAGTTATAACTTGTCATAAATTAGAAAAGTGTTATATTAATGTAAAAGTAATACATTAGACTTTGGACAGTAAAAACGGTGTTTTAGTTACAATGTGTTTTGTGCGGAGTCCTATATCAAACCCAAGTGATCCTAATTGACAGGCGATCATTCCGTACTAAGCACCACAAGGACTATCCACTGTAAATGTTCCATCCACAAAGCTCTTGGTGTATAGAATTTTTGTAATTATAGTACCTATGTTTGTCTTAAAAAGTTAAAGCATATTTTGATAAAAACATAATAAAAAAGTCCACCCCCAAAAATTTTATGTATAAGAACCTTGCAAGGTCAAATTTTACGAGCAGATACGTACTACGGTGAGCGGCAGCAGGTAGCGCGTACGCCAAGTAGTACCCAATAGCGCAAAATTCCTGGTGATTGACTGCTGGGTTGTACCCAGATGTGGTATGGAATGGAGTAGAGCTTTAGTAGCGTCCGCCGCATGCGAGCCAGTTGTGTACAAGCTCGCGGTACGATGGTGACATGACGACGGTACGGCGATAGTGGCGATCGTACTACTATCCTTGAGTCGGGCGAATAGGGCAGTGACATTCATTTTCATATGCCTTTCGAGATTTATACTTTGTATTTTGTGAGTGAAACGCGGAAAAAAGGCTATCGCAGTACTACTTCGACCAATGAAATGCTTTTCAGTAAAACTTGACGCATTTTAAAAATAAGGTAAAGGACATTCTTGTTATTCCTAATAATATCAAATCGTAGCAGTGGCGCCTTTGTGCAAAAATATTAATAGAAGCTGTCTACTTCGAAGATTTAAATGCCCCCCCATGAAACTTGACAAGTTTTCTTTTTAAGAAGGGGAACGATACTTTTATCACTTCCAATAATATCCAATGAAAACAATGGAACCTTTGTGCAAACAAATTAATAAAAGCTGTCACATGGTACTACTCCGAAGATTTAAATGCTCCTCCATAAACCTTGAATTTTTTTTTTTTAATTAGGACGATACATTTATTACTTCCAATAATGTCCAATGAATTCAGTGAGTTTTTGTGCAAAAATATTAATAGAAGCTGTCGCATAGTACTACTTCTAAGATTTAAGTGTTCCTTCATAGATCTTGGAGAGTTTTTCTTAAAAAGGAGATCCATACATTTATTACTTCCAATGAAATCAGTGGAGCGCTTGTGCCCAAAATATTAATAGAAACTGTCGCATGGTACCTATTACTTCGAAGATTTAAATGCCCCTAATAAAACTTTACGAGATTTTTTATAAAAAGATGAACGATACATTTATTACTTTCAATAATATCCAATGAAAACAGTGGGACTTTTGTGTAAAAATGTTAATAGAAGCTGTCGCTTGGTACTACTTTGAAAATGTAAGTGCTTCCTCATAAAACTTGACAAGTTTTTTTAAGGACAACGATACATTTATTACTTCCAATAATATCCAATGAACAATGGAGCCTTTTTGCAGAAAAACTGATAAAAGCAGTCGCATGGTACTACGTAGATTTGAATGCTCCCCCATAAAACTTGACGATTTTTTTTAAGGAGAACGATACATTTATCACTTCCAATAATATCCAATGAAAACAGTGGAGCTTTTGTGCAAACATATTAATAGAAGCTGTCGCACTGTACTACTTCGGAGATTTG